AAAAGAAAAAGTGTTTGGTAGAACCCATTTCAGCAAATATGTTAGTCAAAAGCCGTAGGAATTGTTATGTCATCCCAGTTCGACCAATATAAGGATATAACTCACGTATGTAAGGTCTTGAGCTAAGTCTGTTTATTGTATTTCGGATATCAGATGTAAATCATGTATAAGTGTTTTGGCAATTCAAGAGACTCTCATACCAGTTTGACCTTTTGGATGGGAACCTCAGCTCTTAATGTCATGTTAAAGTCTAACAAAGTCAAGCAAGCAACTCGTCTGACTAAGACTAAAAAGAGCACTTCGATTTCAAGATTGGTCCGCTGCAATGATGCGCCATCCTATGGTGCATATCAAGTCATTCACAATGGCCAATCAAATAAAACCTAGCCCTTCAATTAGATTGGCATTGTAGTATGAAACTCAAGTCTTAATGGAAACATGGTCAAAAGCTACTTAAATATTTTGCTGATAATAAGCCGAATAAGGCAACCAAAAGCGATGTAAATTCTAATTGTTTTGTATTTTTCTTATGTTTTTTCTCAATGATCAGTTAGGTATGGGTAGTGCACTAGAAACTTTATGCGGGCAAGCATTTGGAGCTGGTCAGATAGAAATGCTAGGGGTGTACCTGCAAAGATCATGGTTAATCTTAGGAGCATCATGTGTGTGTATGTTGCCACTATACATATATTCTACCCCAATACTAAAACTGTTGGGGCAAAGAGAAGATATAGCAGAGCTAGCAGGAGACTTTTCCATTAAAATAATACCTCAAATGTTCTCCCTGGCAATAAATTTCCCCACACAGAAATTTCTTCAAGCACAGGTCAAAGTTGGGATTCTGGCTTGGGTGGGCTTTGTGGCACTTATCACGCACATTGGTCTGCTTTTCTTTTTCGTTAGAGTTCTTAGATGGGGTACCAGTGGAGCTGCCGTTGCATACGACGTGTCTGCTTGGGGTGTAGCACTGGCTCAAGTGGTGTACATTGTTGGGTGGTGCAAAGATGGATGGAGAGGGCTGTCTTTGTTGGCTTTCAAAGATTTGTGGCCATTTGTCAGGCTCTCTGTCGCTTCTGCTGTGATGTTATGCTTAGAGATTTGGTATTTCATGACTATTATTGTTATGACAGGTCACCTTGGTGATCCTGTCATCGCCGTTGGCTCCCTTTCCATCTGGTATTTGCTCTTTTCTTTTTATCTCTTGTGCTTATGAGGATATTAACTTGATTGCTTACTACTTTGTTTATTGGTCTTTTCAGCATGAACCTTAACGGATGGGAGGGCATGTTGTTTATAGGGATTAATGCAGCAATAAGGTAGATTATGATACAGTTTTAATATTCCATCTCCTTATTGATTACTTTTTTTAATTTGGAAGTTTAAAGTAAGCCCATGAAGAGTTGAAAAGTCTAGCTCATTTGAGTGACATTAATTGATTAATAACGTATTAAACTATTAATTATGTATTACGCATTGACTGATCAGAATGAGTGGTACACAAATAAAATATTAAAAGTGGGATAGGTGATTTGAACTCGCCCAAGAAATCTAACAAAATATAAAACATGGCAAGGGAAGTTCACCTCTTATATATGGCTGGTGGCATGTTGATGTTTTCTTGATGTGGCTACTTCAACAAGAATTCTACAAATTTGCCACACTAAAGTGGATCCATCTTAAAACTTTGTGACCATGGTGATTTGGATGAATTACCTAACCAAACCAAACCATACATACCCAGTATGCTTTGTAAGGTGTGAAGTGAAATGTTAGCAAACATTGCATCTACCCTAGTAGTAGATAGACTGTTTCCGGCTAAGAATTCTTTTGCATGATTATAGAATTTTGATAATTCATGAACTTGTTCAAGTTTTGTGTAAATTTTTTATTTTGAAAAAAATAATCAAACGTGAATACTTGGGCAAGTGCAAAGAAATGTTTGGGCAATAGAGGCAAGCTTTTTCCAATGAACGTATATGTTACACTAGCGATTACTCACGCAAGGCGCGAGAGTGTTTGCCCAATATTAAAATAATGTTGTCTTTTGTAAAAATAATGTTATATGCAAAATTGTTACGAGAGTTTTGTAAATAGTTAATGAAATTTTACATATCATATACTACGTATATTTTAAAAATTGTCTGAATAATTATATTCCATATAAACCAATTACTGTGTGGAAAATATGTGATTATGTGGTTCATCCTTAATCAATATTTTAGAAATACATTAGGAAAATTGATGTAAATATAATCCAAATACATATAGTTGTGCACAAACCAGTTTTATGAGCAATAAATATTTCACATTCCTGGCAAGGTTGTAATCATGCTTTTTTTTTTCATTTTTTAACAAAGTATGAATGTGTTCCAATTCCGTTATCATAGTTGGGGCATGGCGTCTAACGCCGTTAAAAAATTAATTCTGATTTTCAAAAGTCTCCGAAAAATTAAAAGAAAAATACTAGGAGGTGCGCCTGCCAAGGTGACCAACATACTATTGTCCTCTTTGAATTTTTCGGCTCTATTTGGATAATTTTTTAAAAATTATTTCGCAAATATCACTTTTCCGGTGGACTTTCTGGCGACAGGCTGGCTGAAGCAAAAACAGAAAGATTGTCCGGAGGCCTTCTTGATGAGCGCATCTCCTAGTATTTTTGTTTTAATTTTTCGAGGACTTTTGAAAATCGGAGTTAATTTTTCTAACGGCATTAGGCGTCATGCCCTAGCTGTGACAACGGAATTAAAACGCATGCGCCACTTTGTTAAAAAATGAAACACGTGCCGCTATCTGAAAACGGTTCAAACCACAAGTATCTTTTCTTTACTTTTCCCATAAAAGATTACATTTAAGTCACATATTTAGCTATGTAGCATCAACCTTTGATGAAAAATTTGTGTATGTTAGTTCATAGGTAAAATATTTCTTATATTGAACATATAATTCATAATTGTAACAATATATTTTTTCCGTAAAATTTATATCAATGCATAAAATTAAATGAAATATGAGTATGTTAAGAAAAACAATAAGTGTGAAATCGTAAAAAAAATTGGACTGGGGAGTATAAACTATAAAGTGAATTAAAGGTACTCCGTTCATCATTACTGATACTCCATATTATACAATAAAATAACAAGTTCACACTTCACTTCCAAAAAAGGGAAAATAATAATAGAAGAAATAACATAAAATATAATAAAGAAGTGACATGGAAGGATACGCATGGACTTATCTATTATGAGCTCAGTATAGATTTGCTACCCATGATCAGGTTGGTATTTAACGGAAGTTAAATACACTTACAGTACCGTAAGGTCAAAACAGCTAAAGGAAAAAATATGGTTCCACTTTCTATTAACAATGTACAACATCTCATTCATAATTATATTGTTGTTAGACAAGTTTAGACAATCAAATGACAGTAAATCTCATACCACTGATCACTGCTTATCTTGGATTAAGAAATGAATGATGTTTGTTTGTTGTTGTTTTTGGGCAGTGTTAGGGTGTCAAATGAGCTAGGGTCAAGCCATCCAAGGGCAGCTAAGTACTCAGTGTATGTCACAGTGGCTGAATCCCTCTTGATAGGGCTCTTTAGCATGGCCGTTGTCATAGCTGCAAGGAACCACTTTGCTGTATTCTTCACTGACAGTGTGAAAATGCAGAAAGCTGTCTCAGATTTGGCCTATCTCCTCGGTGCAACAATGTTGCTTAACAGTGTTCAGCCTGTCATTTCAGGTCCCTACATTCTTTCAGTAATGACTTCATATTGAAGGGACAAAGAGTATATAGAAACCATGAGACTAACATAGTAGATTTGTCTTTCTTGACAGGTGTAGCTGTAGGAGGAGGTTGGCAAGCACTTGTGGCATATATCAACTTGACATGCTATTACATCATTGGCCTTCCTCTTGGTTTCCTTTTAGGTTATAAAGCAAACTTAGGAGTTCAGGTATAATAAAACTTGTTTCAATTTATTAATTAATTTCTCTAAAATGATGTGCTAAAATAATAAAGTTTTGTTTAGTTAGAAAGAATATGAGAAGAGAAACAATTGTTAGGGTGATGTCATAAATTGTTTGGCATCTTAACCACATTTTTAATTATCAATGCACTTTTTTCCATATATTCTACTATTGTTTCTCAAAAACTCCAAAACACTTTTTCCTTTAAAGATGGTCTTATAATCATTACTGGAGCGAGTAATTTCTCTATGCATTCGATTGATTGGACAGTTTAATTGATTCAAAATGGAATAACTTTTGTACCAATTGGCTGTAAAAACATTCTGAGTGGATTTGTTCGTTTCAGAATAGTTTATTATTATCACTTAGTTTGTTTCTTTAATTTTGGACTCTTTTTGTTGCAGGGAATATGGATAGGCATGATCATGGGAACTTCTTTGCAAACAATTGTTCTGTGCATTATAGTATGGAAAACCAATTGGGAGGAAGAGGTAATACTTTGTTTTTTCTGAGATAACTGTCGTTAGTTCATTACCTATCATTCATTTGAATATGAGGAGGTTGGCTTTTTTTTTTTATCAAAAGAATGTGGTTTTCAAAAAATCTGTTCAATCTCAATTCCAGGTGGAACAAGCATCAGAAAGAATGCGGAGATGGACTGCAAATGATGATGATGAAGTTCAATTGATTAATTAAGCCCTTTGACCCTTCATTACCTTCACATAGTTTGATCCAATTGTTGTACCTCTTTATTACGTTTAGTGTAGATTAGTTTAATTCTTACGGAGTATTTTGAAAACTTGTCAGTTTTAAATCCCTTTTGTGCATTGTAGAATTGTCACCTTTAGTTCAAAAAACTAAAAAAAAAAACACCTTCCTTATTATCACGTTCCTTTTTGTTCTCACACACGCATATTCGGCATATATGTCTCCCATGAGAACAAAAATGAAGGCAGTATGTCTTTAGCATCACTCATTTAATAGTGTAGAAGACTCCTGAACCAGATGATAAACATATACAAAAACGCTACCCCTTATTTAATATTTAGTGTTGTTTCTCTTTGCAAAGCTCATATCGAGTTCTATAACTTCTATTTAGACTTGATTAACAAATATAAAGGGATGAATATTGAAGAAATTCTTTAGTTTTCTGTTTCATGACAAGATCTGCCCGCAAGCTTAAAATTATCTAAGATCCATTTACAGTACACAAATGAAGCACCACACATGATGGTAAATTGTGTTTGCCTTCACAGTTATATACACAATATCTTTATTTTAGGAGAGCCTTCCTTCAATTGCATGCACACAATCTGATGTGGTTTCATCCAATTCTGCATGCAACATGTCAAAAAATGCAATCTTTATCACAGCAGTAAATCTATACAAACTGTATATGGTTAAATACATATAATCATTGGCCAAAAATAGTATCTAGTTATCATCTATATTTTGTTTGAGAAATAAGAGAAATCTGAGAGAAACATTGATTTATCTTGTTATTACCCTAAGAGTTTATGATCCAGTTATGGGACGATATAAGGAGTTTTTGTGTTTTAACTGTTTTATCTATATTGCTACAAAAAAGAAACTTGGGAGAGACCCATTTGATATCAACTACGAATTCAAATAGGTCGTGGTGTCTAGGGAAGGTTGTTTTAGGAATGACCTCTTCAAACGACCAAAATGCAAATGGAATTAGTGAAATGTTCCCTCAGCTTTCTTGGTCACCGACTCAATCTCCCTTATGGGAGGTCTCGGGTTCGAAACTCAATGGAGTGAGTTTCAGCCCAATTTACTCCAAGCCCCCCAGCCCTCCTCCAGACACGCCCTGGAGTAATAAAAAAATAATTTAAAAAGAAGACCATAATTGTTTTTCCCTGGAATTATGGACTCATCCACTCTTTGGGAGCATAAAACAAAGACACTCTTATGTGTGCAAATGACCCATTTTTACTCCTATTTGCAATACTTTCTTTTATCATTCCTATCCCATTACTTTTGCCTATGAATGATCAAAGATTCAAAATGGTTCAAAAGAAACCTTAAAGATGCAACAGATCCTGCATATTCAAATTAAAACTTACCTGAACCTTTAGCTGTCCACATATTATTAACACGGTCTAGTGATCATTGGCATTATGTTTCAAGCACCCTGTCTTCACTTTCTATGAGAGGAGCCTTAGCACCTCTGGACTCGATATTTATGGCCAAGTTGTCATTGGCCACCTTCATTTCTTTTGCTTTTCCCCACATTACAGAGTAGAATCCGATAACAATTATAACCCATCCCACCAAACTGCAGATGCTCTAATCATTAGTATATAAGCAGATGAAGTATTTATATGCGAGCATATGCATGCAAAGGGAGCAGTGCACAGGTAACAAATTAAAGTCGATATCAAGTTCAATCGCCTTTTTCCATCATTTGCAATGGAGCCAAAGACTCACTATTTTTTGACTTAAGACTATGATGGAATAAAGCAAAATGGCTTACTAAACTATCCGAGCTTCTTTATTATGAAGCAGTAGTCAGTCCAGGCAATTTTCGACGCGATTTTCACTTTGAGTCATTTGGAAATAGTCTTTGTACTTTAGTACACGGGTAAGGCTGCGTACATCCGACCCCCCTTACCCCACCGTAGGTAGGGACCTTTGCGACACCGGGGTAATGATGATGATGATCCAAAGTTCAATCGCCATTTGCCATGAGCTTTTTATGTCACTTTATTTATAATTCTACCAGTCCCATTTTTTGTCACTTTTACTATTGATGCAGTTCAATTTTTGCGGTTCAATGGAAGTTTTAGCGAAGTATCTAATTATATATTATAATAATTACTACTAGTTTAAAATTTTAAATATTATTAGGGGAGATTTTACTGAACTTCAGCCAAACCACATAATCCGAAATAGGATACATAAAATGGGACAGAGGGAGTATTATTTTTATGTCACTCTATATGAACCTGAAAGAAGTTGTGTATATAAAGGGGATCACAAGCACCTTCCGGCATAGAAAATATCTCCCGAGAAGATTATTCCCAATGCAGCAGCAATTACAATACCTAAGGGATGGAACACAGAAACAAAAAGAGGCCCTTTCCTTCGTACGCACCAGACCATGACACTGACCTGGAAGGCAGAGCCAAAAATACCCTATAAAGCAGAAAGATGAAATGTAATTTGAATGAAACTTTTAACATCGACTCCGAATTAAATTTGTCAAATGAAGTTTCCCGTATTGCGATGCCATGATTAAAGAACATATAAATAACTGTGGAATTACAGATCGAGAATTTGAGAAAGGATTATCAGATGCACACTCATAAAAGATTAATAGCTTATATGCCTAATAATTAAATGAAAAGCAAAGTCAGTTAAATAGTTGAGGCTTTGAGTTATGAGAATGCAAATAAAACTTCATAAGTGCATATCGCATGTCTAGTGTAGGCATCATGTTAGCATTTAGGTTGAGACAAGGAGTAAAGATAGTAGTGAGTGATAATTGGGTTCAAGAAAGAAATTAAAAAACAAAACTGACCGAGTAAAGGATAGCAAGCCACCTCATATCAGGCGTCAACATCCAAGCATTTAAGTCCCTATCCACAATTAGAGAGATGACTGCAGATAGAATTGCCGTAAAGAAGAAGTAAAAGAAGACCACGATCAGTTCTACTGGGTAAGTCTTAAGAATGGATGCCTGTAGAAATCAATGAAAAATGCAGTTGCCAAAGATTAGATCTATAATGTTTCAAACGCTTTGGTTTCTCAATTCCAGAATGTGAAGAGTTTAAGATACTAATAATATACCTGTACCACTAGAAAAGCAGAAGATGCCACACAGTCAACTAACAGAAAAGCTGCCCCAATAACCCAATTTACTTGAGGTAAATATAAACGGTGAAAGTTGGATCTTGAAGAATCTGAGGTAGTCAAAATTTGTGATCCCTTATAGAGAGTAGCAATGAATGCTCCAGTGATTGAGACAACAGTCCCGATGCATTTGGCAATGGTGCTTGAACTGGCAAGATCCAACTTTTCCATTCTAAAGCAACCACGTTAGAAAAATAGTGTCAGCTGTTTTTGCTGTTCCATTTTTTCAGATTATAGAAAACTGGCTTTGATGGTAGCACACACGTACACAAGTTATAGAGAAAAATCAGAGACATGAGTCCTCTTTTGTTCAAACCCCTAACACCAAGGCTTACAATTTATATCGTAGAAGTTGTTATAGTGATACTGCTATCCACTCCAATAAAAAATGTTTGATACAACTTTTAAGTTTGGGTGAGCTCTTGCCATTTTTAGTCTTTCTACTGTTATATAAATGACATTTTTGGTACCCATTTTTAAAACTTTCCAATTTTAGTCATTTAACTCATGTGACAAAGACACTTTTGTTACTTGTCTTTACAACTTTCCACTTTCCTCCAACTATTGTGAAACTGACACTTTTGGTACTCATCTTAAAATGTTGTCACAATAAGCAGATGACTAAAACTGTCGGTATCACAGTAGTAAGAAGACTATAAGTATGAATTTCATAATTGTAGGAGAACTAAGACGATAGAAATTCAAAGACGAGTATCAACGTTAATATAATAGTCGAAGGTTTAAATGTGATAAAACTCTTCCAACTAATCAGTCGTACTTATATCATTTGAGCTTACTTTTTATTTTACTAAACTGTCATATTTAGCAAGATCAATAATACTTTTTCAGAAATTAGACGAATAATTAGTTTCTTTTGTTGATAAGCAACTCTTTTTTAGGATTTTGTCTTTTTAAATTGGACTCTTTTTTATACATGACCAATTATATCTGCACTAATAATAGTTTCATTAGCTCCATTTCCATCCAATCTATGACCTATTGTATCTTTCTAAATGATTTACATATTAATTCATGTTGCAAGAGTGGGGGTTTGTTAATTCATAGTCCAATACTATATTTTTATGAAACCCTAAACTCCTACAGATCCTTAGTAAGGGTAGAAACTAAAAATGGATATTTTTGGACTGTCCAGCCATACTATTCAATATTTTCCCAGCACCTTCATTGTTTTTCTTAGTAAAATAATCAACAAAAACTACCGGTACCGTCATTTATTTACTTTCATGTGTAATTATGTTTTCTTCTTTCTTGCATACTATCATTGTGTTTTCTTCTTTGTTTAAAAAAAATCATCAAAACCAATCTGAATTGGAAATTCTTGTTTATTTCAATAAAACACAACACCTAAAGTCTTGAACATATAAAGGGCTGTTAGTAAAAGGAAGATTAGTCTACTGGAGCTTTTAACCAGTTGTTATTGAATAAACAAGAAACAAGACCAAGAGCAAGAGGACTAAAAACCTGAAAGTGATGGCAAGTAGAAAGGTAAAACCCGGAATCAGGTTGAGCATTGCAGAGGCAAAAGATGCTGAAGTATGGTTAATTCCTGTATACCCAGTAAGCTGTGCTGTGCATCTTTAGAGCGAGAGTTGACCAACAAGCTCAAAATTAAAGGTTTACAATAATGGATTGATGAAAAAGGGACCAAACAAAAAAATCATATTTCCAGTACAGAGAGCAAATAAAAATAATAACGAATTGTGAAGGAATCACATAGCATACCCCAGAACTCCAAGCACGAAAAACCCACAAATGAGAGACAAGGTGAGCGGTGGGCGAGTTGACCTAAACATAAACACGAATTGAGAAGCAGCAAAAGAGGCAGTTAGTTTAAAATTTGATTTGAGTGTTAAATGGTAAAATACTGAAGCACCATATATACCTATGGAAGAGAAAAGCAGAGAGGAGGAGGAGAGCAGCAAGAGCATTGGAGTAGAAGACAAAGGTGAAAGTGGTCATTCCACTAGAGATGGCTGCTTTGCCTACTATCATCAACCCAACTTGAGCAAACTGGTTCGAAATCATTCCCACATACGGCAAAGTAGCCTCAAACGTAATCGTCATATCACTGTCTTTCTTCTTTCTCCTTCAGTACATCAAATTATAAGCGTTTTACTGGAATCTGAGAATCTCAATGCGGTTTAAGATGGACTCACAAGAAAGTAAGGAACTTCAAAGGATTGGACGAAACCAAGAAAATAACATATTTTGCTTGACTATGGTAGCTCATACTACTGGTATGTATTATATATCTGCACGGCGTTAAAGCTTAGCAGCCTCAGATGGAAAGGCCGGGGTACCTTTCGGCGAGTGCCCGCAACTGCGACGAGAGGTATCTGCAAGTATCGGGGAGCGGTGCCGGAATCTGTTTTGTTATAGCCAGAATCTCGGGTCGGGCAGCGGTGCAGCCAGGGAAGCTGTTTTGTTACCCCTATTTTGTTCATAGATTATACTCCGTATTAGTGAAAGATTTTTTATAAAAATAAAATGTGTGGTGAAAGGATTATACGGAGTATTATGGAGTAAAATTTAATGAAAGATTTTTTACGGAGTAAAATCTGTTGACAATATATTATTGAAAGATTTTTTTATTTATGGGGTAATTTGAGTTTGGACCCCAAATTATTATCTAAATTGGACTTTGCACTCCGTTTTTAAAACTTTTTGTTTTTGCACCTCAATCTCATATGAAAAGACAAAAATGCTCTCAATCAGGAATATGTTGAAGGTCAACATAATTGTTAATGGATGGACATTATTGTCTTTTCATATGGGGTTGGGGTGCAAAAACAAAGAGTTTTAAAAACAAGGTACAAAATCCAATTTAGACAATAATTTGGGATGCAAACTCAAATTGCCCCTTTATTTAATAAAGAATAATAAATGCATTACGTAATGAAAATTTATAGAAGAAATAATAATTAGGAATAGTCGGGTGAAAACTGGTGCAGAGTGCAGACAATGCTTTGAAAGAAGAATAAATACATACTTCCTCCGCTCATAAAACTTTGGCACTATTGAGTTTGTTTTGTAAATGATGATAAAGTTTGACCATTTAAATATGGAATTAGGTTAAAAATGAAAAGTATCTGAAAATGTTTCTTGTTAAAAGTATTTTCATAAATGTGTAATAGTTATAAGTTTCATTCAATTATAACTACCATCATTGTTCAAACTTTAATATTATTGATCACGAAATCAAATTGTGTAAGTTTAACGGGAGGGAGCATTAGAATGTGCTTTCATCAACTCATAAATAACAATTCCAACTAAATAAAGTTTTTTCTAAGATATAATACATCCACAAAAGTAATTATTATGAATTGAATTAATTTTTTTTGCACTCGTAAATGATCGAGTAGTTGTGTTCTTTGAGTAAGTGAATAAATTATAGATGAGAGAAGTGAAATTGATCCTCCACACAGGACCAAAGGATAAGAACCATGACTTTGTAAGAGTGTTTTACTCAAAAATTTGATGAATTTTATATTATTTACATGTTATGTTTTGATTAGGGGACAAATTATACATCAACAGTTAAATTTTGACAGTTGCACTTATTTAAAAGAAAGAAGTATCGATCAACTACTTTCAAGTTTCAATGTCACAAATGAAAGGGAAATTAAAAACTCAAAACTCAAAGGTCAATGGTTCTTTAGTCAATTGGTTCAAGATAATCATCTATGTAGATTGGAATCTCATATCCGGAATGTGAAATATCCGTGTTTGGTTTGCGGGTTTAATTTTTGGGGGGAAATGTTACATTCCATAAGGAGAAGAAAGTAATGTGTTGTCCCTTAATCTCAACCCACTCACCTCTTAGGTGAGAATGAATTTTATTTCAAAAACACCCATTCTTATTTAACCAAAATGGTTTAAATAGCATTTTTATTTTTATTCTTAACCCATCCGTATTGGATCTTTTTTAAAGCTCATGCATATTGGATTAAGAAATACAACATGAATACTTTTGAATTTCATTTATTAAAAATTAATGATGTAATTACATATTTATGACTAACATAAAATTGTTTTAAAAAATGTGGTAAGTGACTAAAGTAATAACATAATCATATTGACTTATACGGAGTATTGAATTTTTAAACTTAAGTGGTCATGATACTATGTTGTAGTACTTCTGTCCCACTAACATCGGGACATAAAGAGGTGGTGTGGTAATTAAGAAAAGTGAGTTTGTGTGGTTGATAGTGAATTAATAAAGTAAAAATAAAGTAAAAATGATTTAGAATGATCAAACATTAATTTTCTACTAGTGGTTGACAATGGATTGTCTTTAATAGGTTCATTTTGATTGTGATGTGCGGTCCGATTGTAACAAGTGTATCGTGTTAAGAGAAAATATTTGAACCGAATTGAAATCATTCACCAATTCTGCAGTATAATATATCATTTAACCAAACAAATTAATGTCACATTCATCTTAATCAAACACAAATGAGATACAAATTGAATGCATGTTCATCAATCTAACATACGTACCCAACAATCTAACATGTACATGATAATCTGACATTCCTTGAACCTAACAGGCCTAAAGAGTTTGTATACTTTGTACCGCTGGCATAACTCCATAGGCTAGACCGCTAGAGATTCGTTACTCGTTTGAGCTAAGTTTAGTAGGGGTATATAAGTATATATTTAAGCACCGACGTTTCTTCTATTAGGACGACATAACAGGAACTGCCATTTGGGTAAGCCCGTTTGGGAGTCTTTCAGGTGATATTTTTTAATGCAATTTACTGAGTGTGTTCTTCGTGGAAGAGTAGATTATCTCCACAAAATTTCAGCTTAAAATTCCATAGGGAAGTTAGTCAGATGTGGGATTTAAAAACATTGTGCTTTATGTGTGTGTGTGTGTGTGCGCGCGCTTGTGTGTGTGTGTGTGTAAATCACAGTGTTTTTAAATAATTTAATTAATTTCTTTCTTGATTGAGTTTTAAACTGAAATTTTGGAAAGGGAATCTATACTTCATTAAGAACATACTTGATGGAGTATATGGCCCAGGAACCCCCGGCCCACAGACTCTCACTTCTCCTACACAGGCCCATTGGGTCTAAGGAGCATTCGAGGCCCAAATGCAGCGGCCCAAGTCTCAAAGAAGCCCAAAATACACACTGGGGTGCCTTCGACCTCCTTGGCCGAAAGCTCCGAATTACACAGGACAACCAGATTCGAGCATGCAAAGCTACTGGGAGAAAATGGCAGAAAAACAGGAGCCTTCGGCACTTTGATGCCCTCGGCATCAGGGAAGCCTTCGGCACTCCCATGCCTTCGGCTACCCAGGGCCCTCGGCTGCGGGGGAGCCTTCGGCTTGCCGCTCAATCATCGAAGATTCCCTTTGGAGACAAGCAACCACCGCATTTAATGCAACGTCACATCCACCCACCACATTCAATGTGGTGCACATGCGACTGCCAGTGCCACCCGATTGAGGTAACCCCTCGGCCGTTGGATTATAGCCACGTGTACTCTCATCGCATTTATTACTACTATAAATAACACATCATTCCCCCATTGTAAAGGACCAGAACATCTCGAGTTCATAAACATAATCGCCTCTCTCTCCTACTTGTTTGCCCTGACTTCTCTCTAGGTTATTCCCCGCAATAACCCCCGGATAAGCTACCCCGGGTACACTGTCCATCAATACTCTCAAAAATTCATCAAAAAATTCCACCTGAAAGACTCTCAAACGGGTTTGGCCAAACTGCGGTTCCTGTCAGGCGTCCTGACAGGAACGTCACTCAGTATTTGAGAATAAGAGTTAGATTATTGTGATTTCCTTAAAACTCTTTCCACATTTTAAAGTTTGCTACATATGCTTATAATACATTGTTTAACGAGGAAAGTAGCAGGGTATTGAATAGTGAAGAACGAGTAGGGTTGGAAGATGACACTTCCAGACTTCCAGTTAAGATTTATCTGCTTGCAGTTTTTATTTTAATCCATGCTTTTTATTAATTCTGTGAGACAATTTCTCTAATTTTTGAATTATTATGATTGTCTTAGTCTTACGGCATCTAGTTTTCCTATGTTTGGAAGTATTGACACTTCTAATGCGGATTATTGCTTCAAGTCTCTGCATGTTCAATGATCAATCTACATTTTGGATGAACTTTCTATATCTAATACTCCGTACGAGATTGATAGGACATTTGAATTATTATGAATCCAGTGGGAAAAAACACTTCTAATGCGGATGATGTTGATGATAAAACACGTTGTTGGATACTTGGATAAGCTCAACAACCCAAATAAAACAAAGTTGAAATAGTTTGAGCTTGTGTAAATCAGTCTATTGTTTATTCTGCCATAAATAAGTTGAAATGCTAAACTCATTTTTCTCGGTATTTTAGTGGTGTATAATCGTATATCAATTTTCAATTTTCTATTGATACATGTGAACTTCATCCCATAATTATGAGACAAAATTCAGTTTTATATAATAATATACTCCGTAATACTTTTATCATACGTGACTTCATTTTTTCATAGAATTTTTAAAGTAGTTCTCAAATTTGCAAATTGTGATCATTAATACTTCGTATTTGTTAATATATTTACAGCACAAGTCTATCATTGTAAGCTGCAACACTAACATTTACGATAAGAAAAGTATATTTGATTTTTTTTTAATCAAAAAAATTGAAGGTCTTTTTCATGACAAGGGAAGACTTGCCCCTTATATATCCTCGCCTTGTGAGGGTAGGGATGGACCGGGCCCGGTCCGGTTCCAGGTTGGGCCCGCGCGGGCTTGCAAGGGGTCTACCGGGCCGGGCCGATTCTTTTTTTTTCTCATTTATTCCAACCCCCACCCTCTAAACCCCGCCAAAACACCCGGCCTGCCAACCACAGGCCCAAACCCAATATATATATATATATATATATATATAAAATGCCCGAACCGGCCGAGCCGGTCCCTATTTACCCAGCCCCGGAACCGCCCCCAAAAAAACCTCCGGGCTGGTCCTAGGCTAGGAACCGGTCCCGGTTCATCGAGCCGGGTTGGTCCCGCACAGTGGCGGTCCGGTCCGGATCCCGGGCCAGTCAGACCGGAACCTGTCCACCCCTATGTGAGGGGACCAATATATCACGCTCCCTTTCTAATCTTAAAATAATTGAAAGAATTTGAGAAACATTACTGATTGTGAGTCTGTGACTAAAAGAAGTGATCACGTCAATGTGCTCAATATGGATGTGTGAATGTGTGATGAATAATTTTCTCTCATCAATGAGGACACCAGGTTTCTCATATAGTCATATGAATGGCCGCTCTTTTATGTTGTTTCTTGTGCTTCGCTTGAATTCAGCCTTATTCTTAGGGATGGACCAGCAGGGCGGGACCAGGTTTGGGAAATGGAGGCCCAGTACTGGCTAGGCATGGACCCGGGCCGGTTCGGGCCCGGTTCAGGAAAGGGGAGGCCCGGAACCGGCCCGGGTAACCCCCTGGTCCGGGCCGGGTCTCGGTTCAATTTTTTTTTTCCTTTTCCTAATTAACCCCTAACCACCCCCCTCACCCCCAAACCATCCCAAACCATCTCAAATGATACAAAATACCCAGCCCAACCCAAAAACTTAAAAAAAAATCAAAAAAAAAGAAAAAATAAATAACATGGCCCGGACCGGGCCCGAACCGGCATGGCCGGTTCACGTTTTGAGGGGCCCGAGCCCGGACCGGAACTCCAGCGGGTCAGGCCTACCCGAACCGGTCACTGACCGGGCCACCGGGCCGGGCCGGGCCGGTACAGTGCCGGGTCGGGTGGGTTCGGGCCGGTTCCGGGTCGGGCCACCCGGCCCGAGTCCAACCCTAGTACCGGCCCGGCTATGTTCCAGGGCTGGGCCGGGACTAGGTACTATTTTTTTGTTTGTTTTTGCTTATTAATTCTAACCCCCTCCCCCCAAACCACCCAACCCGCCTCTTACCCAAACCATTCGAAAAAACAAAAAAAAGGGCCCAGTCTGGTTCCAAGAGGGCTATAGCCCGCCCCCAAAACACCCCTGGATCGGGTCCTAGGCCCGGTCAACCGGGCCAGTCCGGTACCGCACATTGGGGTAATTCTAAATACAGCCATGCATTTACTATCTACAGCCTCCGTTAATCAAATTTCCGTTTTAACCTTTTGATTTAATTCGAGGAACTACAAAGCTTTAAACTTCGCAGATCTTCACCTGTTGTCTTGGAGCCGTCAAACTCAAACGAAGTTCCTAAAAGAAAACATGAATACTCCGTATAAATTTATATTTTGATCTATCATCTTTTTTTTATTGTTTTTTGTGAACCCTATTTCTGCAAATTCATGAACGATTCTCATAATAGTGACATATTGACAGATATGTTAGCATTCATCCCGTCGGAGATTAAATTAATCAAAAACTTTATACTTCATGTTTTAGGGAGAGAGAGCACTTAAAACATCGAATCCTTATATTAAGTAGTATGATTTGAATCACAAGTCCATAAAAAATATCTAACTGTTTAAACTCGAAATGTTCTAAGAAATATAATGCTGGCCCTTTAAATTGAGGAGCCGGCGGAAAGTTGGGGGCAGCATCAATACTCCGTGATTCATGAACGGACATTTCAAGCAATTAAGAAGGATGGTTGAAGGGTTGTGCTGCAGTCGTGACTTTCTAGGTGGATTATGGCGCTGTTATGGCGCTGTTAAAAATGGAAAATGGAGAAAGTAGTTGTGTTCTTCTATGATGATTGTCCAGAAGGTTTCAATTAACGATTAGAATGGTAAGAAAAGAAAATTGAGATGCTAAATGTTATGATGGTTGTAGCAGCGATTTCAATTAAAAGGGTAACTTTGTAATCAAAAATCGATTTATGTATTATATTCCAATCGGGTGGTTGTAGATAGTAAATTATTGTTTGTAAATAGAAACACCCCGCACATTGGCAGTCCGGGCCGGCTACCGGGCCGGTCCGATCGGTCCCAGTCCATCACTACTTATTCTGGTGCCTTTATTTCGGGGAATTAGCCTTTGTAAATAACATTTTACCTACTTAATATATTTAGGGAGATTTACCTTAATAGGATCAAAACATGGCTTTTTTCTCAAAATAGGAGTACCTTGTTTAAACATCCTTAAATAGGACTTTTTATTAGTGATTGGACCAAAATACCCCTCACAACCTTTAGCACTGCTGCCCAGGGACTGCCGGGCGGCCGCCTGCCGCCTGGCGCCGGAGCTCCGACGACCGCCGTCGGAAAAATTCCAGATTTTTTTTCTGGAGGTTTGCCAACATTCTGCCGCCACCTGCCACCGGCCTCCGGCGTCGCCGCCGCCGCCGGAAACTGCTGCCGCCGCCGGAAACCGCCTCTTCCGCTGCCACCACCTCCAGACTGCCCCGCTACCAACGGACTGCCTTGGTTGTGCAAGGGAACTAGGGGGCAATTAATTGGGTTAATTAATTGCCGGAGTTGCCGCCGCCGGCCGCTGCCGGAGTGCTGCCACCACCACGGACTGCCCCACCACCGACGGATTGCCTTGGTTGTGCAAGGAAACTAGGGGGGCAATTATTTAGATCAATTAATTAATTAAATAGAATTGGGGGTAAAAAAGGTAATGTTAGTCCTATTTAGAGAAAAACATGCATGTTGTCCTATTTAGAGAAAAACATGCATGTGGTCCTATTTTGAGAAAAAGGTTGAATTTTAGTCCTATGTTGGACAATTTTCTCATATATTTACAATTCATTCGAAGAGGGGATTTTTTTTCTTAGCCACGTAATTAATGGAAGATAATTAAGTTGGCATAGTCCCCCACTTTTTTTTATCTTCACTTCTGGGTTTCTGGCAAAGTGCCAAAGTGGCAAGACCATATTTTTTATGTCATTTACATCACACTAAGTAGTCGATACCCTCAAGTCCTCAACTCCTCAAGATGTCGGGCATCATTTTAAGCTAAAAGATTAGTAGATTTATTAATAGTATAACAAAAAATGATGAGCGGGTCCTGTAAAATATATCAACCCAATATTCATATTCTATGAAAACTATGACAAGTACAACAATAAGCTATAAAGTGGAAATGAATAGGGTATAAACATATAACTTAATTGTTAATATATAGTTTAAGTATGTAAGACCTAACTAAATATGGAGTAGGAAGAAATTAGTGAGGAAATAGAGAACTAAAATGAGGTATTTGTAGAAAATAATGGCAGATACTACTACTGATATGATGCCACCAAGTCCTTGAAGTGAGAAAGGAGCTCATCGACTGTCATAACCTTGTGATCTGGATTGTCTCTCACTCGGACGCTAACCTGGTATCAACATATTTTTTTACACCCAAGAAACAAGTTAGTAAATCATTTCCTCCACTTGGAAATGCAAAGAAAAGCAATCAAGAACCATAAGATCAAGGCTTTGAATGTCTACCCTCTATCCCCAAAATAACTTTCCCATTTTCATTTGTGGCCAGCCCTAAAATAAGCTTCATCTCCACAACAACACTACCCCAGTGCCGCAAAGGCTCCCACCTACAGTGGGTAAGTGGATCGGATGTACGCAACCTTACCTTATGCTAAAGCACGGAGAGACTGTCTCCGGATGACACATGATAAAGTTGCGTTGAAAATTGCTATATTCTATCACATTCCCAAACCAAAATAAGCTTCATATCTCCCTATAAATAAATTTCAACTATAGAATTTTAATTTCTTAAATCTCATGTCAGAAGTCAGAGGTATATGAGGTCGAGGGAGTATTAGTTTTCCAAAACATACATAGGATGGATAACTGATGCCATTTGGACCTTAAAAACTGATAAGTTATACCTTGTCTAATAAGAATATTAGTTTTGGGCCGGAAGAACCAATTAAAAAGAGTTTTCCTAAAATATTACTAAAATAATATTCATGGAAAAAATATAGCTTAACTGTCATTTTCAACACCACCATAATATCTATACTTTCAAATATATAGTCACTATTCATTAAGGGGTCACATATTTGTTCATGACTTTGGTTTTAGTACTCCCTCCGTCCCATAAAATTCTTTTCACATACCATTTTGGGATGTCCCAAAAAAAACTTCTCATTTCCCTTTTTGGAAAGTTTTGTGTGACTAACATTGATTTACCTTTTTCTTACACAACCACACCCATACATTTCTACTTTTGTCCAACTTTCTTAAACTCAGATCCAAGTCAAACCAAGAAGAATTTTATGATGATATTGTCCATAATGATTTAATAGAATTTTCCTTATAAAAACAAATTGAAAATCTTAAATGGAAATATCTTTATAAAACAATTTTAAAAAAATAAACTCTTGCATATAGCATCATGTAATAACATTACTCGTGATCATAATAAACAATGATGCATTGTATTGAACTTGTTGATCAACATATCAAATGGCTTTTTTAAAATATATATAAAAGATCATCACATATCCATCAAGTTATTATTAGCATTATTATAAATACTAAAATTATTTTCCCCAATAGCGAACGAATAAGAGCGAATAAATAGGGAACGAATGTGGTCATGTAAAATAGAGTGTAATTGTGTTGTGTGTGAAATGTAAATTTATTTGCGTCAAGACAAAGGAGCAGATTATAAACAGACCTCTCTGGTGGTAACCTCCTTTTCACCAACCACTAAAATGAAGTTGTATTGTGCCATCTGAGCTTCTCGTATCTGCAAAATTCAAGAATGTCGATACACCAAATCAAGGGCTAAACTAGAAACAAAATAGATGTAGGTAGAAATAACTCTTTGGCTTATTTAAAAATTGAAAGATGCTTTACAAATCGAGACTGTATGTTTTAAGTTTTGGCTTACTTTTTTCTGGATAGTCCTGTCTGATGTATCAACATCAACATGAAACCCCGCATTATGAATTCGATCGCGCAGCTGATCAGACATAAAATAAGATTCATATCAACATCATAAAGATTTCAATTACAAGAAACAACAAATTTACCATATGAAAGATAAATAAATGCACAAATCAAGAGTGTGAAAGTAACAGGTTAGTAAAGTGAATACTGTATATCAACCTCTACTCCATATGTTTGAGATTTATCTGATACAGGGCAAACCATCGCCTGGCGTGGACTTAGCCAGAAAGGCCATTTCCCCTTGAAGTGCTCCAAAAGTATGGCAAACATGCGCTCCACTGAACCAAGGATAGCTCTATGTATCATAACCGGTACTTCCCGCTTGCTCTCATCTTCTGCTGAATAAGATAACTTGAAGCGCTGAGGAAGTTGAAAGTCCAGCTGAAACACACCCAGTGAATAACATTATAAAAAAGGTGACATCTTACATATTATTGTCTTTAAAAAATACATATGTAAGAATATTAATATAAATTTTATAATTAATTGAATCCCAAAAGAGATAAAAACAAACAGACGCTGAAGCATGAAAACCTGCAGTGTTGCACATTGGAATTTCCTTTTCATTGCATCAGAGACACTTATATCAATTTTTGGCCCATAAAATGCTCCATCGCCCTCATTTATCTGAAAACATCAAAGATTAATGTGACCGGCAATTAGGATATACGTAATAAAGAGGGGGAATCAGCAGAAAATATCATCACTTACTACACAAGGAAGTAAGGAACAGTCCTTTTGCACAGTAAGAATAATGTTGAGAAAAACATTAAAAGTGCTTGTCTTGAAGCTAAAGCAGTGATGCAAGTATCTTAGTATCATGCCTATTAAGGCAGAGGAGAACACCTCAAGATTATTAAGCCTATTTCTTTTCATTTGTATCAAGGAATATAATTTTGAGGCATTTCACACCTTTGTTTATATAAAAAAAAAGGACACTTCTCTTTGTGCATTGGATGATGCTTTACTGTGTTCTTTGGTACACTTTTCGCTTTAAAAATCACAACTTACTACACAAGAAGGAAGTACATCTACTCACTCCGCTTGTGAGTTCTACAAAAAGAAAAACTAATGGCCCATTGATAGAAAGAGGGAAAGATGAAGAAAAACGACCACTGCAAGGAAAAAGATCTCCGAGAAGATAAAACAATTAAACAAACACAGAACAACAAAAACATGACCTAGAGGAGAAGAAAAAATTTACAATTAAACCCCCAGTAGATAAGAAGGAAATACAAAAATAGGAGAAAGAAAAGAAAAAATGTACACACATTAAGAATTTCACAGCATGAAAAATCAACACATCATAAGAAGGCGAACAGAAGAAGAAAAAACATAACAAAACACTGGTAAAACACAATTAGAGTTATTGAAGGATTATGGATCGAGCTGCAGTCAATTGGAAGGTTGGGAAATGCCCTTGAATGTCGGTGGCAACTTGATCTGTAAGCCGAAGTGGTCCTTGCATTATACCGACACAACATGGAGAGAAAGAGAGAGAAAGTAGAAGAGTTTTATGTGCAATATTACAACAGCATATATTAATCTTTGAACAGAGTTGACGATGATATTTGGTCTAAATCGAGCACTAGTGCTGAAGCAGGCTTCATCCTTTGCTTGTGCTATGCACTTAAAGAAGTTGATTAATCAATTCTGATAAGTGTGAATGAACCAAAAAATATGACGGCTCAGAAAACTTTGATTTTGTGTTTAACAATACAGGTGACAAATGTAGATGCAAGCATGACCATTTTAAACAACTCAATAACTACTGTTGAGGACAATAACACTCTACAAAGGAATTTGTTGGTGGAAGCACAAAAATGTTAATGCATTAACTAAGCAAGACGAAAGTTTTATAGTAGCATAGGAAAAGATTTTAGCGACAAACCTCCCATGGTTTGCCAAATTCATTGAGCGCATCTGAAAGAGCAGCTTCTGCTTTATCCCAGGTCGCCACATCTCCAAGATATTTTTCCGGTCTCTGCAATTAAAATTAGAGGTAAATTCTCTTGGGTATAACAAAACATCGGAATCCACAAACTGTGACAAGTGAAAAAACATACTGTAGATAGCTTCAGCTCATATGTGAACCCAAATGTCTTGTAGACATGATCAATGAATTCTAGTCCTTCTCTGACTTCATCTTTCACCTGTAATAGCAGAATAATTAAAGTGACTTTGTAGCTTCCAAAAATTGAAGGCAAGTTTTCTTTCTGAGCTCACCTGTGACTCCCTACAGAAGATGTGAGCATCATCCTACAAAGATGGTATGGGTTAGAATATAACAGTATTAGCATGACCACATAAGCGCACAGAAAAACAAAACAACAGAAAGAAGGAAAAACTTAAATCGTCAACAACCATTTCATACTGCTTTCGATTAAAAAAACTCAGTAAAGATCAAGATAATAAACCCTTACTGGTGAAATTTATACTCCGTAGCAATTAAAAGTATCCAGGTAAAGAAACATTGCAAAATACCTGCTGAAACCTTCTTACACGTGTTAATCCCGTAAGTGCACCACTGGCCTCATTTCTGTGGAGCACTCCAAAGTCTGCAAGCCTAAGTGGCAGTTCTGCATGGTCGGAAGGTAAATATTTCATCGGGTACATAAACATAGCGATTAAAATGCAATGAAGGGGATTTTGTAGATCTATTACATATAAGTAAACTAATTGCAAGGATAACAGCACATAAATATTTAGCTCACCTCTATATGAACGAACTCTATGGTCAAAGATTAAGCAATGGCCAGGGCAATTCATTGGCTTGAGACCAAATTCTTGTTTATCAATCTGCACATATACACACACACTAAAAAGTCACTAAAAAGAAAAACGAACCAGATTCTTGTTTATAAATTTCCAATTGCTTCACAGTATTATAATTCTGAACTAGCTACATTTGCCTTCACACAGCAGAAGTACTTCTATAAACAAATTAGACACTCTTGATCTCATATTCAAAAGAACAGGAACATGTACCTTATCATAAATTAACCCGTTATAACTAATTAAATGCAGTTTACCTAGGACAGAGAAGAATGCCTTACCTCAAATACAAACATATTCTCCTTATAGTTTGCAGCATGACCAGATGTTTCCCAAAGCTGCATATTGTATACGTTTGGGCTCCAAACCTGTCAAAAGAGAATAATATCAAGTATATTTAATGGAGCAACAACAACATCCACACCTTATTCTCAAAAGATTCTGGGGACATGTATGAAAAGGAGCGTGGGGGGTTTAATTCATGAATTAATGTAGCATTGGTTCATTGCACTATCAAAAATTGCAAAACATTACCAACAACCAAGATAAGGTAGTTGGTGGCACCTCCACATGAAAACTAAAATTAGAAAAACGATATACCTCTTCAAAACCTCGTTTCCAGTACTGACTGCGCATGAACTCCAACAGTTTGTTGCACACTCTAGCACCATGGGGAAGAAAGAAGCAACTTCCAGGGCTAAAAAAATTAAATCATGAATATCATGTGAAATCTTGAAAATCAAACTTGACCATTATATTCATGCTCGTAGTTTCTAACCTTAAAGGGTGAAAGAAGAAGAGTTCCTGCTTCTTGGTCAGTTCCCTGTGATCATATTTCTTTGCTTCTTCCAACATTGCAAGGTATTCCTGAAAGAGAGATTACCCAGGTATATGTTCTTCAGCAAATGCACCTTTCCATCCTTTTAAGGAGTGTTTGGGGTTGCTTAAAAAAAGCGTTTTTCAGCTTTTGGCTTAAAAAAAGCTGAAAAGAGTGTTTTCAAATGACAGCTTCTACTTAAATTAATCACTTAAAAGCTAAAAGCTGGAAGCAGGTAGAAGGGTGCTTTAAACTGCTTCTCACTTTTTCTATTACACAAAAAGTACTTATTTTACCAAACACTACTAACTTTTACTTTTTCGGAATCACTTTTTTCTCAAACACTACCAACTTTTACTATTAATCACTTTTCCCAAAATCACTTTAAAAAATCACTTTTTTAAAGTTGAAGCAATTGCAAACACTCCCTTAATCCCATAAGAATGCTAAGGTCCATAATATATTGATTACGATGGCAAGCAATTTCTATTCTACTGAAAACTGCACAACAACATCCAAGACTTAATCCCAAAAGATTGTGGGGTCGGCTAACATGAATTGATATATGACATCAAAGCTAAAAACTGAAAACCGTACAACATAGATAATAATCCATGTCTGTATCTTGGGATTAGAATTCAATCAATAGGATTAAATAAGAAGTTAGAGACTTCAATTTTATGAACGCTTTTTCAAGGATTCAATAGTTCATAAAACTGCAAATGCTCCCCAAGATGTGTTTGCAGACAAAGAAAATTGATTTATGATATAAGGAGTTAAGAACTTAGGATTATTTAGATGATATGCGCTATTATATAAAACACTTACTCCACAGTAAAAAAAACTATTTTTATTAGAAACTTGTTGGATATATTTTGACAAAACTTCTAATACCAGGACAACAAATCACTGATTACTCCCGAGTAATTGGGTCCTTGACCAAGCAGCTGCCGAGTACCAATTTGACTATTACTGCTCAAAATTGCAAGTAGTTGCCCATCTGGAAAATTGTTTAACAAGCAGAAAGAGTGAGTTATACCTTTAGGCGCTTTTGATCGGGATAAGATATTCCATAAACCCTTTGCAAGCTTTCACGGTCTTTATCACCCCTCCAGTACGCTGAGGAAGCCTAAATATCAATGTATGCCGACATCAAATAATTAATTGATAACAGAAACATGATCACTCAAAATATTCTCTTTATTGTATACATGTAAGAAGCATTTACCTTTGTGCATGCAAGCGCTTTAACAAAAGATGTGTTTGGAATATGTGGACCACGACATAGATCTACCAAAGGGCCGCATCTGTACACTGTGATAGTTTTGTCCACAGGTAAATCTTTAATAATTTCAACCTGCGTGAAATAAAAATAGCAGGAAAATAAGGAATCACTCCAATCAAAAGACAATCAGAACCATTAGAAATAGTCAGGAAAAGTATTATAAGAAAAGACACGTTTTTTACCTTAAACTTATTATCAGAAAACATCTCAAGAGCTTGTTCCCTTGAAACTTCAATACGCTCAAAAGGTTGTTTCTCCTGAATGCGCAAGGGAAATCATCATCAAATAAACAAGAAATCATTAATGACAATATAGTTTCAGGAATGTCATAAATGATCATATTCCTAACAAAAAATGAATTTAACACTACTGTGCTATACGGGTCCTGGTTACTGGATTTAAAGTCCGATTGGTTTATACCAACATTTGAGATTTCTAAAAATAGGTTCAGCAAAAATACTGAATTAAACATATGTAGGCTAAAGAATTTAAGAGGGAAAAAATAAAATGGCTACCGAGGCCGCTTTTGCCGCTTGTGCTTCAATCTGTTTAAAGTGATCTTCATTCAACCCAAAATCCCCATAGAATGCATCATAGTAGAAACCCTACACCTCCAATCAGTTATGTCATCACCAACTATTCATAACACACAAGTGTAGATGGTAGTGAAGCAAGATAGTAGAAATAGTACAAGAAAAGTGCACATAAGGTTGTTACCACTTACCACAATAAACCCATATCACTATATATAAACAAAGAAGCATACCTCCCCTCTAGTTGTGCACGGACCAATGCACAATTGGCAACCATAAGTCATCTCCACAGACTGCGGAAAGAACACGCATGCAAACGAAATTAAATACATGGAAAGAGATCGTCAGTGCACAGAAGCAAAAGAAACATCTTTTCTTGCACTGTTTTCTCAAAATCAAATCAAATATTTATTCTAAATTAGCAATCTACCAGTTGAATAAAGGTCGAACCTGGCCAAGAATATGAGCACTCGAGTGCCAGAAAGTATCACGGCCCTCATCACTATCAAATGTGAACAGTTCGATCTTACAGTCACCCTCCAGCGGCCTCATCATATCCCAGAGCGCCCCATTGACCTTCGAAATCAAAGCATTCGACGCTAAGCTCTTGGATAGTTCCTTTGCAATATCAAAAGGTGTTGTATTCCATTTCTTTCCTTCTTTTACAGCTCCATTTGGTAACTCGACCCTTGAAACGAGAAACACCAACTGAATATATAATAAAAACGAAATACCAGGCATCATGGACACGCATATTTTCTTAAAGAATCAGTTTTTACTTGATGGGGTCGGGGGAGAGGGAGAGGCGCTGCATTTGCTGCTGGGATTTGATAGATTCGAAGAGCAAAATTCGCTTAGGGATTACTGCTTGGAGATAAGCTTCATCCTTCGGATACTCCGGGGCGGAGTTGGAGCTGGCTTTGTCAGCCTTGCCCATCTGCGGTGGCTGGAGGCGGAAGCAGCGGTGGAAAATGGATTTAGGAGGCTGATGCTGTCGGAAAGAGAGGAAGCGCCACCAGTCTTGGGAACGACTGCATGTCAGCATTTTAGACTGTGGGTTTTGGAGGCTCAAGGTTTTGAGTTGCCGGGCCAGACGGGCCGAAACCACTGGGGCACTGGGCTAATGTATTCCGTATTTCAATGTTAAAATGATACTCCCTCCCTCCGTTCCCAAAAATACTTCTCACTTTCTTTTTTGGGCCGTTCCCAAAACTTGTTCCCACTTCCCCTTTTTGGACAATTTATGTGGCTCACATTCATTTTACCTTTTTCTTACACAACCACAACCAAACATTTCCACTTTATTCCACTTTCTTAATAGGTGTGCCAAGTCAAACCGGGAAAAATTTCTAGGAACGGAGGGAGTAATTATATTCACGCCTCCAAATTTGCTATTCAAATCATTTAAATTATCCTTATTACGGGTAGTTATTACTCCGTAAAAGGAATAACGCCCCAAACACAACTATGAAGCTAGGAAGCACGGAAACTCTTCATGGCTCACGTTTTCACGTTTCGGAAACTCGGAAGCATCTCGGAAACTCGGAAACTTCAAATTCCCGTTTCGGGGCCGTTTCCGTAATTAAGAAAAATTTGGAAACCCGTTTCACTACGTTTCGGAAACCTCGGATTCCAATTTTTTTTCTTTTTCAAAAGATTCTGTGGTGGAAAATAATTTTTTAGAGTGAATTTTTGTGGTATTTCTCAGCGGCAACACTTGTTACATTTCGTAACGCTATGCATTGCTAGAAATGTATTACTCCGTACATTTTATGTTTAATTATGTACTAATATGAAATATTATCTAAATTCGAACATGTAGAGTGATTTTATTATTTGGTTACTAAACAAATTATATTAAAAAAACATGTGCATATGAAAAAACTTGTGTACATATATTAAAAAATATTTATAAATATATCCTTATATTTTATAATATTTACGTGTTTCCCCCACGTTTCGTGTCCTATATTTTTTAGAAATTACGTTTCTCGCGTTTCCCGTTTCCCGTTTAACGTTTCCCGTTTCCCGTTTTCGTGCTACTTAGCTGTGAAGAGAACAAGCACGGAATGAAACAAGGTGTGCCGACACTAAACAATCAACAAGATGGAAGTAAATGAAAAAATGGTCAAAATGATACACGCAGATGTTTCAGGTGGAGTAAGTAATACCTCATCTTACACTTGAAACTACAAAGTACATTAACTTGCATTTTCAAAGTCGATTAAGTATATTTGCTCTGTTCAAACGTTAAAATAGCTGACCTGGCCAAACTATCAGTTTTTAATATATTGTTGCAGTCCAAGTCATCAAATAAATAATCTATAAACTCTAATTTCGTCCAATTCACTCGTTTCCACCTTCGCTCTTCATTTTATATTTCTCACATTTGTCCTCCCTTATCTCTCTCTTCAATTTATATTTCTCTCATCTGCTCTCCAAGGGCGGAGCCAATGCGCTGGGCCAGACTGAGCAGCACAAAGAATATTTTTTGGGGGAAAATACACAAAATTTTTACTTTAAAATTAAAGCATTTTTTATTTTGAGGTGGACCAGGGCCAGGGTTGGCCCCCTCTAGTTCCGCCCGTGTTGCTCTCCTTCTCTTTCGTCTGCTCTCCCCGTTGTTTCGTCGGCCTTTTCTTTTATTTGTTATCAGTCCATCTTTATTGTAGCGAGAGAAGAAGAAAATAAAATAGAGCAAGACGAAGAAACTGACGGGATAGAAGGGAGAGCAGGCAGGGGAAATATAAGATGTAGAGCGGAGAGAAGGGAGAGCAAACTGTTGGGTGTGTTTCGGAAAACACAGAAAATATTTGATAAAAATTAATTAAATAGAATGACTAAAAGAAAACCAAGATAAGAGATGGAGCAGAAAGTAGTCAAAGCTCGTGCTACGCACGATTTCCTTAAAACGTATTCGTTGCCTCCCGGGGTGCTAGGAGCGTTGCAAGAATCGTTTCCCAAGATACGATGACTAACAAGCAACCGTTTAAGCACTTAGATGATTGTTTCGGCGAACGTGAACAAAGGCAGAACACAAAGGAAGTTTTCAGAGATAGTTGCAGGTGTTTTTGAGAGCTCAAATTGTGTGAGATCATTTGTGAGTGTGTGTTTGTTACAAACCACCTGCCAGCTACTTATAGAGTTATAGGAAGGATTTGTTGTTGTGCGTTAATGACGTTTAATGGTCTGAACGTTGGACATCAATGGCCCGAACGTTGGGCATTGATTCGTCCAAAATAGTCCGTTAATTGCTGCATTAAGGCTCATAGACGTTGGGCATTTATTAGTTGTAACGTCCCAGCAGCAGCCTGTTGCGGACGTTCAACATGCAAGGAGCAGTAGCCTGCTGCGGACGGAGCAGTAGCCTACTCCAACCTGTAGCAAAAAAAAATAGGAACTCGGTGGAGGAACAAAAATTAACGTTTATCTTTAGAAGATAGAATTTTCGGACGGCATTCGTGTCCGCAGGTCAGAAGCGTACGCAAGTCGCGTTTTTTGTTCTCCGGTTTCGGGATTTGATTCGCACCCCCCCCTACGCGAGAGAGAGAGCCTTTACCCTAAGGAATCTTAACTCGTTAAGGGGGTTTCCCTTTATAAAGGGTTGAAATTCCCTTGGGTTTTCCGGTGTGGGAAAAACCCACACTAGAGACCCATCTTTTCCTAGTTTTCTCCATTCCAACGAGTGAACTTCGAGAATCAATTTCTCATTCACCCGTTATCCGTTTTGAGCGTACCATATATCGAATTTTAGCCCTAAGAAAGGACAACCCGAAACCAGTTTGACTTGACCCAAATCGGAAGTGGACCCCACTCAAACAAATTGCCCCAAAATGACCATTTAATGCAATTTATTAACACATTTCCCAACAATCCCCCACATGAATGAAAATTGATTTTCGAGACTTAAAAAGACACGAAGATAGGAGGACACGTTATGTTCACCGGATGATCCCTGCATACGAAGAGGTAGGTTTTATCCTTTGAACATTCCGCTGTAAAGGCACGTTTATTTACTGGCTGTCTGGTAGACTCGATGTCTTTGAACTATACTGTTGTCGTGTAAACATTGACTTATTTTTACACAGGAACCTTCCATCTTTGTTCCGTTCTCATTGGTGTGCCCGTTTTGGCCATGGGTCACCGTCCTGGTTCTGCAAGAGTTTCTAAAGAACTGAGCCTTTACAGTTCTCCTTTGAAGCGGCCCTCTTCTCTCTCACATAGGTGATTCTTTCACGAGTATCTTGCATACTCTTCCAATGTTATCGAGTAGATCAACATTTTAGAATCACTAAAGCAAACGTTTTTGTTAACCTCGTGCGGGAGTCACTGTTTCAACGAGGAGTGGGTAGGAGTCCGGAACCCCCACAGTGACCATCCTCCGCTCTATAGTTTAGTTGTCTCTTTTGAACCTAGGACCAACTAGGTTGGGTATCCACTATAGAACTTTTCAATTCACGGGCTTTAGTCCCATTCCTCGTGACAACTTCTCCAACAATTCTCTATCTAATGCCTTGGTTAGCGGATCCGTTATGTTATCCTTTGACTTCACATAGTCAACAGTGATAACACCCGTTGTGAGGAGTTGTTTAATGGTGTTATGTATACGACGAAAGTGTCTAGACTTACCATTATATAAGTTGCTCTGTGTCCTTCTAATTGCCGCTTGACAATCGCAATGTATGCATATTGGAGGGACAGGCTTCTCCCAAATTGGAATATCCTCGAGAAAATGGCGTAGCCATTCAGCCTCTTCAGTGCACTTCTCCAAGGCCATTAGCTCAGATTCCATCGTGGATCTAGCTATTAACGTTTGTTTCGAGGATTTCCATGACACGGCTGCACCTCCCAAAGTGAAAACATATCCACTTGTGGACTTTGAGTCCTTAATGTCAGATATCCAACTAGCGTCGTTGTACCCTTCAAGTACAGCTGGATATCGTCCATAGTGCAGTCCAAGGTTTTGCGTTTTTTGTAAATACCTCAAAACTCTTACTATTGTCTTTCAGTGTTCGTCACCGGGGTTGCTAGTATATCTACTTAGCTTACTAACCACAAAGGCATTATCAGGCCTGGTACAGCTCATTAGATACATTAAACTGCCAATAATCCTAGCGTATTCTACTTGAGAAATACACTATCCACAATTTTTGGTCAGGTGTACGTTTTTATCTAATGGCGTCCTTGCCTCTTGATAATCATCCTTATTAAATTTAGTAAGGATTTTATCAACGTAATGAGATTGGCTTAGCGTAAGGCTGTCAGGTCCTCTAATTATTTTAATCCCAAGGATTAAATCGGCCAGCCCCATATCCTTCATGTCAAATTTAGAATTTAACATGCTTTTGGTAGAATTAATCATTAGATTATTGCTACCCACGATGAGTATATATCTACGTATAAACATAAAATGACATAGTCGTCTACCGTGCTTTTCACATAGACGCATTTGTCACTTTCATTTATCTTAAATCCATTAATTAACATTGCATGATTGAACTTTTCGTGCCACTGTTTAGGGGCTTGTTTCAATCCGTACAATGATTTAATTAATTTACAAACCTTCCTTTCTTGGCTTGGAACACGAAAGCCCTCAGGTTGTTCCATATAGATTTCTTCGTCTATATCGCCATTTAGAAAAGCGATTTTTACGTCCATTTGATGAAGTTCCGAATTCCGCAAAGCGGCAATTGCTAGTATCATCCTAATGGAATTTATTCTCATTACCAGAGAATATGTGTCAAAGTAATCATGGCATTCACGTTGCTTGTATCCCTTAATTACAAGTCTGGCCTTATACTTTTCAATGGAATCTTCAGGTTTCATTTTACGTTTAAAAATTTCACTTGGATCCCAAAGGTTTACATCTCGGAGGGAGATCAACCAATTCCCATGTGTGATTTTGTAGGATCGAATCCACCTCACTTTTGATGGCTTCTTTTCACATTGGACCTTCGGTAGACGTTACAGCTTCCGTATAAGTCCTTGGCTCATTTTCTACCAAACATGTTAGAAAATCCGGTTCATTTTCTACCACACATGTTAGAATATCCGGGTCATATTCTACTAAGTAGGTGAGAAAATCAAGTCCAAATGATTTTTCAAC